GGGATGCTCGACGCGGAAGGAATAAAACCCGTATGTGTTTAGTCGTTTATAACAAGCGTATGAGAGACAAAACAATAAATTTCCGTAAAATAAAAATATAAAAGCGAATCATCATGAAAGCCAATAGAATGAAGAACCTAATGAATTTTACTTCCAAAAGATTATGATTTTAATGGGTTGTTTACATTGAGCGAAGAAAAACTTCAATGGCACGAACTGGATGAATGAATCATATTACAAATACTTAAAAAATAGTATTCATAATACATGTTTTTTCTATTGTAATAAATGTTAGAAAGGAACTTATTATTCATTGATTTCATTAATTTTATTTTATTAATGAAAACGTTAACATGTAAACGTTCTTTTTTTTGTTACGTTGTATTTGATTATGATCACTGCTAATTATACCAGTGAATATGTACGTAACATGAAATGTGATTCTTAGAAAGACTTATGGTTTTTACATTTTGTATGACAGCGAAGATTTATCTCAGACCCTAGCGTCACCAACTTAAAAATTTTGCAATTAAATTAGGGTTAGGGCTTGCCATTAAGTTAGGTTAGAAAGAGCCTTTCGAACACCAAAATTTCGCAAGGAAACCTTTTTGTTAATGCGTAGAAAGAAGTTTCATATAGTTATGAACGATTTTTTTGGGTTGTTTTGCGTTTTTTCATGTTACACCGGATCTTGAAATCTGATTGTCTGGCGAAATGACAGCGAAATTTTTTTAAGGCGTATATGAGTGATTATTTTTGAACCCGGACCAATTTTATATATGACGTAATAACATTTTGGCCTGGATTTAAAAATAATTACCCATATATGGGGCGTCGTCAATCAGAAACATACCAAAGTGAGATCCAACGATAAAAATTAGGCATGTCTAATTGTAACATGTTACTTGTAGTAACATAATTAAGTTTATTAAGAAAAATTATATAATAAAAGGTAATATGTGTTCGGTGACACCCATGTTCCAATTAAACATGTCCTAATTTTTATCATTTTGTGCAACAATTTGTCGGATCTCACTATGGTACGTTTTGATTGACGACTCCCCATACGTTGTGAGAACGGAATTCCATTCTCACTTATAACATATATACAATGGCCCCATGTAGATCACCTTTTGTCAAAGGTATCTCAGCAACTCTGGTGAATTTTTTTTTTGATCTGTAGAATACAAATAAAAAAATTTATTGGATAGTTGCTGTCGAAATACCTTCAAGGTTTTAAAAAATTTTAGAAAAAAGGGTGTGACCTTAAATTCATTTTATATGTCGAAATGGTTAACTTAAGTTGGAACGGAATTTCAAATGTAGCCCAAGTTAATACGAAATTTAAAAGCAACCTAAGTTGATTCTAATTCTGATAAGTGATAAATTAATTGTTAAAATAAAATACAAATTTTAATTTATTCCCTTTTTCTTATTTCACTTCATCCTTTGCAAAACTCTATCCGATAATCAAATCTCAAGATTATCCATTTTTACCTCGAAGAATCGATTCCCAAATATCTTAGCAAATCGGTTAATAGTCAACTTAAAACATTTATAACACGTGAAGACTTTGACTTTTGAATTAAGGCTTTACAAGATCCAGCAAATACAAGCACAAAGATCGAAAGACACTCTTTGCAAGATCCTCAAAGCTTTGGAAAATGACACATATAGCTTGGATACAAATCAGGTATTATTGGAATTACTTATAAGTTTCCAGAATTAGATAGCACAGTCGATATTGAACCTTCCTATAACGAACTCCGGATATAACGAACTCAAAAATTTGAAATTTCACACTAGTTCTTAAGAAACCATAAGTTTCTATCACGGGCTTTTTTTTTCTTCAACGCACATAAGCGCTCAAGAAGTGTTTATTATGCAATCTCTTCACAAGTAGAAAATATCAAATGCAAATACAAAAACGCGTGTGACAAAATCATTGTAAATGAAAAAAAAAGTACACTGTGGGAGTAGTTGCCATCCCACTAATCGTAGATGGAAAAACTTCATATAATGCTTTTAACTTTAATTAATGAATTAACCTATTTTAAAGCGACTTAAGTTCCAAAACAAAGTGCTCGATGAAATAATTTGGAATACAAATAATTTTATTGTAAGTTGAATTGAAATTATTTAACGACTCAGACACATTTTAGAATTCTATTATAACCTATGCTTATTGAAATCAACCTAGGCACATTCTAATCTACAATAATTCCATTCCGACATACGACATATATAAACCTAATCCCAACCCTAAAATCCTAATTTCCTTTAAAGCAAAACATATTTCAAATAAATTTCATACGTGTACTATTATTGACACTTTCTTGCCAGTGGTAGAAGTAAACTAGAGATTAGAACCAATTAAAAAAATTATGACCAGTCAGTTTATATCTGATCGTTTTTGACCGGTCGAATGCCGGTTAAAATCAAATCGTTAAATTTTATATCAACATAGAACAACAAATGTTCTTTAATCAAGTTAATCAAGCAAAATTCGATTACTAATTTATGATTATTTAAAATAATCATCAAATGATGTTTTAATTATTAACATTCACAATCTCTAAGTCGATATTGAATTGGTTAATTCTCGAATCCACTTAAGCGTTAATCATCCTTAAAAATAAGGTGTATCGGTATGTATAAGCCTAAAAAAAAACAACAAAGAAACTTTTCCTATTGATCGGCTTAGCTGTTCATAATTTTTATGACTGATTAATAAGATATTGACCGACCAGGGACGATGATTTTCTGAATTTCTCTTGAGTACAGCCAATCACTGAAATCACCCCTAGTCACCATAGAATCTAAAAAATGAATAGAATTCAAAAATATTGCAGGATTTGAACATAAATTTTTATCACATTAAATCTCTCAACCACACGAAGAATTTAGTCTTAATCACAGCAGAAAATTATCGTTCCAGTGACAAGCTAATCGGTTAACAATTGAACAGTATACATGATTGACTTTGACCGTTATACAAATAATTCGTCCCCCGAATTTGATTGGACAATGATTTACATTTATGATGTTCAATTTTATTTTTCTCTTTTACAACTTTATAATGTCAAAATTCAAACAAGAATTAACAGACGTAAAAATAATACCAAATTTGAAGGGTGTCATAATATTTGGAGTAGCATTTGCAATTCGTTTCATTCTTTTCCAGTTTTCTAATATCACTGAAATATTGGGAAGTCGAGTTGAAATTGTGACGCCTGTAACAAGCTTTACCCGATGTATGTAATTATAATAATTTGATTTATCCAAAAATTTTTAGTATCGGTATAATTTATTTCTTTTCCAAAATTTTAGTAACCGAGGGTCTTTACTTATTCGGTAATGGCGTTCCACCATACGATGGCGGAGCTTTTCATCAGGTTTGTGCCATATTAAGTTTCTAGTTTCAGTAATTTCTATGAGCCAAATATTTAAAGTTCCAATTGAACCTTTTTTAAGGCTCCATTATTCCTCGCATGCTTCCAGCTACTTAGCTACCTTCCAAACATATCAATACCGTTGACTTATATAATAACAGATTTACTTATAGCTTATCTTTTGGCAGATATAACACGAATAAAGCAACATTTATACAAAGATTTTCCACGTATAGATGTGGAATTAGAAGCAGGAAAACCAAAGGAAATTGATCCATGGATAGTATCTGGATTGTATCCTTTTAGAAAATAATTATGATAAGAAAATTATATAATATAATTTTTTATTCGTTCTTTCATTTATTTTCTTGGAAATAGGTATCTCTTTAATCCATTAACAGTCGCATCATGTCTCTCTCGGTCAACTCTTTTATTCACAAATCTATCAATCGTTCTTGGAATATATTATTCTCTTAGAAGTAATTAGTCATTTAACAATTAAAATATTAATATTATGCAATTACATTTACCAATTAATTGTATCAATATATTAGATAACAAAAGTTATGGCATGTTTTGGATTGCTATGGCAACCTATTTGAGTTTTTATCCATTAATGTTAGTTATACCTGCAATATTGATATTGACTAATAATACAAGTTTGAAAGAAAAGAGAATAAGGGTATTTCATATTTTATTATCTAATGTTATCTTTGTACATTTTGTAATTTAAATTTTATTTTTCTAGAATGAAATATACAGTTGCACAGGTTTGTACATCGGATGGTTATCAGGATTATTAATTTTATCTTATCTTTTGGTCGATTCATGGGATTTTATGCAGTCCACTTATGGAGTAATGTGAGTTTACGTAACATTATATATATTTTATGTCATAACTTCTAAACTTTGTTTTTGAACTTAACTAATTGGTCACTGTTTACAGCCTTCTTTTACCTGACTTAACTCCAAATATTGGTTTATTTTGGTATTTCTTTATTGAAATGTTTGATCAGTTTCGAAGCTTCTTCCTGGTTGTATTCCAGTTACATGCGTTTATCTTTGTTGTACCGATATCTCTGAAATTCAGGTATTTATTCATAAACACCCGAATTAACTTTTTAATTTTTATTTACAAAATTATTATCTATTCATTCAAAGGAATCATCCGTTGTTTGTTGTATTCCTTCTGAGTGGCATCATGGCTGTGTTTAAATCCTATTCATCAATAGGCGATGCATCGCTTTACCTTGCTTTTCTTCCTATCTATTCAGAAATCGTAAAATGTAATTATTTCTCTATAATAATATATTCTTCCTTCTTGTTGTAACATACAAACTAATTTTTTTTTTTTTTTTTGAATTCGTTTTAAAATTGATCCTCATCCATTGAACACAATAAGATATGAGATATAACTACCTTACAACAAATATATTTTGTTATTGCTCTATATTATCTCCAATTTTTTATCATTTATGGATTTATGCAGGTAGTGGAAATGCAAACTTTTTTTATGCTATCACTTTGGTGTATACCGTAGGAAATATAATTTTGTTAGTTGATGCCACTTATTCAATGCTCAGAAGAGAATTTGATATTTGGAATCCTGAGTTAAGAAGTTGCGAGATTACACAAAAATAACTTTCAAATGAAAATAAGATAGCTATATAAGACTGGTTAATTATTAGATTTGTTTGTCACTTTATTTTTGGACAATACATCATAAAGATCCTATTTAAGGCATATTTATGATGAATCAAACATACATGATAACGATTTTTCAATTTCTGGCAATGAACACGAATGTTAAACGTATTCATGATGAAAGTTTGTTCATAAAATAATAAATGTTTTGTTTATATTTAATATACATAGATATGATTTTTTCAAAAAAATTAAAGTAAAAAATTCCACCCGTTATTTTGATTGTTATAACATTCACAAATTAAGCATTTATTTTTTGTTTTGGATTATAACCAATTTTTTTATTTCAAGATTTAAAAAGCCTGTGATAGTAATAGTTTGGTTTAGTCTTTAACCCAAGATTATATAACATTTTATTACTTTTATTGGATAATTGTTTACGTGTATCTAATTAATCTATTATCTTGATCATTAATTCAAAATTTAACTGTGCTGATTTGATTAATTAATAAAGTATAGAAATTTAACACAATCGCAACTAGTAATAAATTATCACCCCTTTTGGCAGCAAATTTGTACCAATTTTGTACAGAAGAATATTTAATTTCGTACAAGTAAATAATGATTATTTTGATTTGAATAATTTTTATACCATTTAAATCTACTCAATTAGATGGTTCAAATGGTACCATAATTATTCAAATCAGATTACAAGTTATCATTAATTTCTTGTATGAAATTGAATATTTATCTATACAAAATTAGTTGTTCTTTTGTGCAAATTTGCAGTTAAAAGGGTAACAACCAATTTATAAAGCCTTATTATTTATCTTTTAGTATTAATTTTTTTAAAAATATCTTTATATAAGAATAAATATATGTGTTGCAATCTATTTTAAAATAAAATTTTGGTTAAATTATGTTAATTAACACAAATAATTCTTTAATGCAAACAAATAAATTAATCTAAAAAATAAATTAATAAATTTATTTATAAAATTAATTTGTATTTAGTATCTGTTAAATAAAACATATTCTATAAACTTTATTAAGAAAAAATTTTTAAAATTATTAAGAAATTTTTAAGTGATTAAAATAATAAAAAATAAAATATTGACCAATTAAAAATTTTAAAATTATCTATATATATTAAATTTTTTTAAATTATTCTTTAAACTGTTTTTCAGGCAAGGTTGTCTAAATTTTTAAATTAAATTTAGTATTTTTAAATAATATAATAAATTATTAATAATATAAGATACAGTTTTTTTTTTTGTTAAAGGCCATACTTGCAGCAATACTTTATTGACTTATAATGGGTTAGCTATTACAACTATTTTTACAGAGATGAGAGTATAGCTAGTCATGTGTGCAACTTTTGGTTGCCTATTTAAGTAGTTCACCCTAATGTTCTACACTAGATGCCATACCTATAACCTACTAAAAGATTATTCATTTAAACCCTCTAATCATTTGCTCTGTCATATTGAAATCTCCAACTTATCCTCTGTATATACCTAACTGGTATACCATCTGAGTAGTATAATTACCTACTCTTTTTGTACTGGTTTTCAGGCTGTTACACATTTTAGAATATGTTACCTGCTGGTAAGGTGCAGAAGGCCTCCTATTGTTAACTATCTACCTACTTTTAGAACACTAACATGGGCAATCTTTACAGAGTTCACTCAGACCCTAGTACTAACTTTACAGCATATCTCTAGTACTTTTAGTATATCTCTGCTTTGAACCCAGACTCCCAATTCAGATAGCTCAGAAGAACTGTAATCTATTCTTGGTATATTGAGACTGGTCTAATATCCTTTTCCTTCAGTTTAAAATCTGGTGGCCTGATTGGTAGTACCTCTTATCTGAGGTTCTTGCCTGTTTAAATATTTCACATTGGTATTCATTTTCTAGATCTAGCT